CCTTCAGCTCTTATATGACCTTATTGTGCTGCAAGTGCCGTAAAACTCTTACTAAAACTAAACCAGACGTAAACAAATATGCATGACCTCTGACCTGACCATTGGCATAACTTTTGACTCGACCTTTAGGCCAATGTAATCTTTGGCCCAATCTTTGATCGAATGTAGTCTTCAATGCAATCTTTGACCCAATGTAATCTTTGACCCAATGTAATCTTTGACCCAATGCAATCTTTGACCCAATGTAATCTTTGGCCCAATGCAATCTTTGACCCAATGCAATCTTTGACCCAATGTAATCTTTGACCCAATGCAATCTTTGACCCAATGTAATCTTTGGCCCAATGCAATCTTTGACCCAATGCAATCTTTGACCCAATGTAATCTTTGACCCAATGTAATCTTTGACCCAATATAATCTTTGACCCAATGTAATCTTTGACCCAATATAGTCTTTGACCCAATGTAATCTTTAACCCAATGCAATCTTTGACCCAATGCAATCTTTGACCCAATGCAATCTTTGACCCATTCTTTGCCCCGACCTCGATCTTAACTTTGACAGAAACTTTCGACCATCTGACCTCTGACCTGAGCTTTACCCCGAACTTTGCCTCCAGCCTTTCACCTGTCCCCTCTCTCCATCAGAGGGGGTGGCGTCGGTAGCCTTGTGGTTAGGCTACCGGGCTCGTAATCGTTTGATTTCGGGTTCGGGGGTTCGAGCCTCAGTTCGGTCCGACGTTGTGTCCTTGGGAAAGGAGGCACTTTACACGAATGTCCCACTTGGCTCGGTCCTTTCGGAGACGGACGTTAAACTAGGAGGCCCCGCCTCTTAAATAACCTGATAGTGTTGATAGGGGCGTTAAACCCATACCATTTTCACCTCAGAGGGTGCTCTGGTGTGGTTTGCTTTTTCTTTCCTATCAAACGTCTATCGTCCTTATCTCCCCTCCTTCTGTTTTATGTTTGTTCCTCCCTTGTAACACCTCTAATCTTGGGCACTTATATGACCTATATATTGTGTTGCAAGTGCCGTAAAACACTTACTAAAACTAACCTTTCACCTGTTCTCTCTCCCTCAGAGGGTGTCCCAAGAGCCGGAGCGACCAGTGGCGTTAGACCCAACATCCCTGTCTACCCGATCTCTTATGACGACGCTCACAGGATGATGAGGTACTGTTGTATAGTCTCTTTACACAACAGGAGAGGGGGAGGGGTGGGGGGAGAGGAGGAGGAGAGGGAAG